GATACAAACCCCCCCCCAAAAAAATCTATTTTAATTCCAGGTTGTAAGGCAACAAAATAGGAAAAATGCCAAGGGGGGTGAATACTGTCGCAAGCCACTGTACTTCCTGCCTTACAGTAGGCTGTTAATGGACAGTGTGGCATGTGGCCTATAGATCACAATCACCTGAAGGTTATGGTTTCGTACGGATTGGGTTCAGACCACGCAAGCTGCTGCTCATACAGTACATCACCAACTACCAACAAAGCATCCCAAAAATCTTGAACTGGGGTGAGCTAATCAGATCTATTTAACAGGGGAGGAAAGACAGACGGAGAGGGGGAATGAGATGGAGGATGAGATGAGATGGGGAATGAGATGGAGGATGAGATGAGATGGAGGATGAGATGAGATGGAGAATGAGATGGAGGATGAGATGAGATGGAGGATGAGATGAGATGGAGAATGAGATGGAGGATGAGATGAGATGGAGGATGAGATGAGATGGAGGATGAGATGGAGGATGAGATGAGATGGAGGATGAGATGAGATGGAGGATGAGATGAGATGGAGAATGAGATGGAGGATGAGATGAGATGGAGAATGAGATGGAGGATGAGATGAGATGGAGGATGAGATGGAGGATGAGATGAGATGGAGGATGAGATGAGATGGAGGATGAGATGAGATGGAGGATGAGAGTGGTTGACTGCTCGTCCTCTGCCAGGGGAAAATAAATAAGCCTTACATTAACATTTGGAGGGGAGGTGAATCCATTGCCCTGATCCATGGGGGTGATTTGTTCTCATACGTCTCGGAGCCTGCCAGGCATCGGAGCTCCTACTGTTCACGTCAATCTTTATCCATCTCCACCTCACCCACTCTCATCTCACAGCCATTAGGATTGTATGTGGGTGGGAGTGTGGGTAGTGGGATGTGATGGGTGAGTGTGTGTGTCTGTCTGCCTGTCTGTCTGCCTGCCTGCCTGCCTGCCTGCATGTCTGTCTGTCTGTCTGTCCGTCTGCCTGCCTGCCTGCCTGCCTGCCTGCCTGCCTGCCTGCCTGCCTGCCTGCCTGCCTGTCTGTCTGTCTGTCTGTCTGTCTGTCTGTCTGTCTGTCTGTCTGTCTGCTTGTCTGAGAGTGTGTGCTTTTGTCGTAGAGAGAGACAGACAGTAGAGGGAGAGACAGAAAGAGAGAGCTTGCTCCCAGGCAAGAGTTAGAGACAAAGAAACTGAGACATCTAGGAGGACAGAAGTGAAATTAAACAGACGCGGTTGCTCTCCCCCCATTGTGTCTCGTTCTTTTACATTCTGGCTTGGCGGACCCAAACACTTTCTACTCTGTTTCCATCTTCTAATGGACCAAATAGGCTGTTCTGTGTATACTGTAGGACCACTCCTGTCTGGGGAGGCAATCATTTGTAGCGTTCTGCGGGGGGGCAGGCCAAATGGGATACAGCTAACAGCAGGATGTTAGCTTTGACTCAGCGGTCAACTGTCCGTGGGAGGTGTTTTAGGAGCACGCACACGTGCGCACACACCCACACACCCACGCACACACAAACACAAACACTGTATTAACACAGTTTACTTGCCAGGTTCTACGTTCCAAATTTAAGAGTTGCGTTGATGAGACAAAACAGGCTTCTCTCCTTTACTCTGTGTTCTGTTCCAGATGAGGACAGGACAGGCTTATCTCCTTTACTCTGTGTTCTGTTCCAGATGAGGACAGGACAGGCTTCTTGCTTTTCTCTTGTTCTGTTCCGGGTGGGACAGGACAGGCTTTCTGCTCTTACTCTGGTTCTGTTCCAGATGAGGACAGGACAGGCTTCTCTGCTTTACTCTGTGTTCTGTTTCCCGATGAGGACAGGACAGCTTCTCTGCTTTTACTCTGTGTTCTGTTCCAGATGAGGCAGGACGGGCTTCTCTGCTTTACTCTGTGTTTGTTCCGAAGGCCCGGAAGGCTCTTGTTACTTGTTCGTCCAGATGAGACAGGACAGGCTTCTCTGCTTTACTCTGTTCTGTCCAGATAGGACGACAGGCTTTCTCCTGCTTACTCTGTGTTCTGTTCCAGATGAGGACAGACAGGCTTCTCTGCTTTACTCTGTGTTTCGTTCCAGATGAGGACAGGACAGGCTTCTCTGCTTTACTCTGTGTTCTGTTCCAGATGAGGACAGGACAGGCTTCTCTGCTTTACTCTGTGTTCTGTTCCAGATGAGGACAGGACAGGCTTCTCTGCTTTACTCTGTGTTCTGTTCCAGATGAGGACAGGACAGGCTTCTCTGCTTTACTCTGTGTTCTGTTCCAGAATGTTCTAGAGGAGGTGGAATCCAGCCCCTGCTGTTAACCTGTGATCCCGTTCTCTCGCACACAACACACCACACACACACACACACACACACACACACACACACACACACACACACACACACACACACACACACACACACACACACACACACACACACACACATACACATTCACATACATACACACACACACACATACTCACACACACGTGCACACACACACACACAAGCACAAACACACACACACACAAGCACAACACACACACACACACACACACACACACAAATGCACAAACAGGTATGCACACACACACACATGCTATCCTGTCCAGTACCATTCAAGTAAATTCCATCACATTCTCCAGCTGCTCGGTCTCTCATCAGTTTCTATAGCCATCTAACCATAGCTAATCTAGATAAATGAGAGCTCAGATGTGAGAGTTTTAATGATGGCCAACACCTACAGTCACGCTCACTCTCACACACACATCAAAGAAACAGTGTGCCAACCATATTGGAGCGGACCGTTTTTGACTCAAATCCACTGCAGACGGTTCTTATTCCTCAACCCTCATCCTCCTGAGTTGATCAAATAAATCACTCACCCACTCACTCACCCCCGTCACGCCGGGTGGTGCATAGGGCACCAACAACCCAACAAACATGACCACGTTGGCACGATGGGCCAATGCACCTTTGCTATTTAATAATAATTAATTTGGTTAAAAAAATATTTATTACATTTTAATTCAATACATAAATTGCATGATTTTCAAGCGTTAAAGGTATTTAGGGAACATGACACATTGTATCAGATAGACAATCAAGTTGTTACTATCATACATATATTTTTACAAGAGAAACTGTTACGTTTATAACTATACTGAACAAAAATATCAATGCAACATGTAAAGTGTTGGTCCCCATGTTAGATGAGCTGAAATAAAATATCCACACTGCCCTTTCCCACCTGGACAAAAGGAAGACCTACGTGAGAATGCTGTTCATTGACTACAGCTCAGCGTTCAACAGCATAGTGCCCTCCAAGCTAAGCTAAAGACCCTGGGAATGAACACCTCCCTTTGCAACTGGATCCTGGACTTCCTGACGGGCCGCCACAGGTGTTGAGGGTAAGCAACAATACATCCGCCACGCTGACCCTCAACACGGGGAACAGAGCTGCATGCTTAGTTCCATCCTGTCCTCCCTGCACGACTCCAGTACCATCATTAAGTTTGCCAACGACACGACGGTGGTAGGCCTGATCCCTGACGATGATGAGACAGCCTACAGGGAGGAGGTCAGAGACCTGGCAGTGTGGTGCCAGTACAACAACCTCTTCCTCAACGTCAGCAAGACAAAGGAGCTGATCGTGGACTACAGGAAACGGAGTGCTGACCACGTCCCCATTCACATCGACGAGGCTGTAGTGGAGCAGGTCGAGAGCTTCAAATTTCTTGGTGTCCACATCACTAAGGACCTATCATGGTCCAAAACACACCAACACAGTTGTGAAGAGGGTACAACAACACCTCTTCCCCCTCAGGAGGCTGAAAAGATTTGGCATGGGCCCTCAGATCCATAAAAAGTTCTACAGCTGCACCATTGACAGCATCTTTACTGGCTGCATCACCACGTGATATGGCAACTGCTTGGCATTCGACCGTAAGGCGCTACAGAGGGCAGTGTGTACGGCCCAGTACATCACTGGGGCCAAGCTTCCTGCCATCTCGGACCTATATACCAGGCGGTGTCAGTGGAAGGCCCTAAAAATTGTCAAAGACTCCCAAGTCATAGACCAGGTTTCTTCAATTCCGGTCCTGGAGGGCCGAAACACTTCTGTTTTTTATTTCTACCTGGTAGTTAATTGCACTCACCTGGTGTCCCAGGTCTGAATTAGCCCCTGATTAGAAGGAGAGGATGAAAAACAGAGGTGTCTCGGCCCTCCAGGACCGGAATTGAAGAACCCTGTCATAGACTGTTCTCTCTGCTACCGCACGGCAAACGGTACCGGAGCGCCAAGTCTGGGACCAAAAGGCTCCTGAACAGCTTCTACCCCCAAGCCATGTGACTGCTGAACAGTTAATCAAATGGTTACCCGGACTATTTGCATTGACCCCCTTTTTATTTGCACTCTCTCTTGCACCGGCTCTATGCACTGGACTCTACCCACACACTCACACATACTACACTGACACTCCAACACACACATAGACTACATATGACTACATACAACTACATACGCTCAGACACACACACAAAACACACACACTCATGCATTTAGACACCACACACACACACATACACACACACACACACACACACACACACACACACACACACACACACACTCACACAGACTCTTTCACACTCTTCACATACGCTTCTGCTACTCTGTTTATTATCTATCCTGATTGCCTAATCACTTTTACCCCTACCTACATGTACATATTACCTCAATTACCTCAACTACCTCGTACCCCTGCACATTGACTCAGTACCAGTACACCTTGTATATAGTCTTGTTATTGTTATTTTATTGTGTTACATTTTCCTTTTGTATTTCTTTTCTTACTTTTTCTTATTCGGCTCATGTGACAAATAACATTTGATTTGATTTGAGTATTTCAATTCAGTATTTCAATTGTGTTCCCCACAGGGACTGTGATGTGAGTCAGATAAACTACATGTATGCCCAGTATGTAAAGAACACCATGGAGCCCCTGAACATCTCTGACGTCACCAAAGACCAGCGCTTTCCCTGGACGGTCAGTACTGGACATTATCTACTCTAGATTCTTCTTCTTCCAGAATCCGATCTTAGCCATTGTTTTTGTTTTTTTCAGAGCCTAACATTATGAATCTGTGTTTCTTTCAGAGTGAGAACCCAGAGCACCCCAGTAACCAGATCAAGAGTTTGCTCTGTACGCCTATCAGGAATGGGAAGAAGGATAAAGTTATAGGTACCCTCTCTCTCTGTCTCTCTCTGTCTCTCTGTCTCTCTGTC